GAAAATTATTTATATCTTGTGTACATTTGTAAAAGAATGAGAAATGTAATGGATTTTTTGGTTGGTTGGATGTCTTTTGTATATTATGTTATATTAATTTATATTTAAATTATGTTATATATTTGGTTTGTTGGATGTCTTTTTTATATTATGTTATATTAGATTATTGTTTTCCAACATAGTGTATATCTTTTGTAACTAATTTTATATGTGTCTTTTGTATATTATGTTATATTAGATGTATTTTGTTTTCTTACTTTGTGTATATCTTTGGTAAATAATTTGATATGTGTCTTTTGTATATTATGTTATATTAGATCTATTGTTTTCCAACATTGTGTATATCTTTTGTAAATAATTCTAGGTGTCTTTTGTATGTAATATTAATAATTGTTATATAAGATGTATTTTTTTAAAATTATTTATATCTTGTGTACATTTGTAAAAGAATGAGAAATGTAAAGTTTAGTTTATCACATTGACTGGTTTGTTGGTTGGTTGTTGGTTGGTTTGTTTGTTTGTTAGTTTCTTATTTGTTGCTTTGTTGGTTGGTTTGTTGGTTGGTCCGTTGCTTGGATTGTTTTATGGTTAGTTGGGTGGTTTTTGTTTGTTTGTTGGCTTGGTTTGTTTGTTTGTTTGTTTGTTTGTTTGTTTGTTTGTTGGTTGGTTGGTTTGTTGGCTTGGTTTGTTGGTTTGTTTGTTTCTTGGTTGGTGGTTGGTGGTTGGTTGGTTGGTTGGTTGTTGGTTGGTTTGTTGGTTGGTTGGCTTGGTTGGTTAGCTGGTTGGTTGTTGGTTGGTTTCTTGGTTTGTTGGCTGGTGGGTTTGATGTTGGTTGGTTGGTTGGTTGGTTGGTTGGTTGGTTGGTTGGTTGGTTGGTTGGTTGGTTGGTTGGTTTGTTTGTTGTTGGTTGGTTTCTTGGTTTGTTTGTTTGTTGTTGGTTGGTTTCTTGGTTTGCTGGTTGGTTTGTTAGTTTGTTGTTTTTTGGTTTGTTGGTTGGTTAGATTGTTGCCCTGTTTGTTTTTTGGGTGGTTTCTTTGTTGGTTGGCTGGTTTTCGGTTTGCTGTTGGTTGGTTTGTTGGACTTTGTTGTTGGTTGGTTGGTTTTGTTTTTTGGTTTGTTGGATGGTTGTTTTTTTTGGCTTGGTTTGCTGGTTGGTTGGTTGGTTTGTTGTTTGGTTTGTTGGATATCTTTTGTATATTATCTTATATTAGATAATTTTGTTTTCTAACATTGTGTATATCTTTTATGAATAATTATACATGTGTATTTTGTATGTTATATTATATTAGATGTATTATTTTCCAACATTATTTATATCTTTTGTAAATAATTTTATATGTGTCATTGTATATTATGTAATATTATATGTATTTTGTTTTCTAACTTTGTGTATATCATTTGTAAATAATTTTATATGTGTCTTTTGTATTGGTTTGTTTTTTGGTTTCTTGGATGGTTTGTTGTTTGTTTATTTGTTGGTTTCTTGGCTTGGTTGGTTGGTTGGTTGGTTTGTTGTTGTTTGGTTTGTTGGATATCTTTTGTATATTATGTTATATTAGATGTATTTTGTTTTCTAACATTGTGTTTATCTTTTATAAATAATTTTACATGTGTATTTTGTATGTTATATTATCTGATGTATTATTTTCCAACATTGTTTATATCTTTTGTAAATAATTTTATATGTGTCTTTTGTATATTATGTAATATTAGATGTATTTTGTTTTCTAACTTTGTGTATATCTTTTGTAAATAATTCTATATGATTGTGTCTTTTGTATATTATGTTATATTAGATGTATTTTGTTTTCCCACATTGTGTATATCTTATGTAAATAATTTTAGGTGTCTTTTGTATGTAATATTAATAATTGTTATATAAGATGTATTTTTTTGAAAATTTTTTATATCTTGTGTACATATGTAAAAGAATGAGAAATGTAATGGATTGTTTTTTGGTTTGTTGGGTGGTTTATTTGTATGTTTGTTGGTTGGTTGGTTTGTTGGCTTGGTTGGTTGGTTGTTGGTTGGTTTCTTGGGTTGTTGGCTGGTTGGTTTGATGTTGGTTGGTTGGTTGGTTGGTTGTTCGTTGGTTTCTTGTTTTGCTGGTTGGTTTGTTGTTTTTTGGTTTCTTGGTTGGTTAGATTGTTGCCCTGTTTGTTTTTTGGGTGGTTTTCTTGTTGGTTGGCTGGTTTTTGGTTTGCTGTTGGTTGGTTTGTTGGTTTGTTGTTGGTTGGTTGGTTGGTTTGTTTTTTGGTTTGTTGGATGGTATGTTGTTTGTCTGCTTGTTGGTTGGTTTCTTGGCTTGGTTTGTTTGTTGGTTGGTTGGTTGGTTGGTTTGTTGTTGTTTGGTTTGTTGGATATCTTTTGTATAAAATTATTATGTTGTATTAGATGTATTTTGTTTTCTAACATTGTGTATATCTTTTGTAAATAATTTTACATGTGTATTTTGTATATTATATTATATTATATTATATTATATTAGATGTATTGTTTTCCAACATTGTTTATATGTTTTGTAAATGATTTTATATGTGTCTTTTGTATATTATGTTATATTAGATATATTTTCTTTTCCAACATTATGTAAATCTTTTGTTAATGATTTTATATGTCTTTTGTATGTAATATTAATAATTGTTATATAAGGTGATTTTTTTCAAAATTATTTATATCTTGTGTACATTTGTAAAAGAATGAGAAATTTTAGTTTAGTTTAGTAAAGTTTAGTTTATCACACCGACTGGTTGGTTGGTTGGTTGGTTGGTTGTTAGTTGGTTTCTTGGTTTGTTTGTTGGTTGGTTGTTGGTTTCTTGGCTTGTTGGGTGGTTAGTTTGTTTGTTGGTTGGTTGGTCTGTTGCTTTGTATGTTTTTTGGTTGGTTGGGTGGTTTGTTGTTTTGTTTGTTGGCTGGTTTCTTGGCTTGGTTTGTTGGTTTGTTGTTGGTTGGTTTGTTGGATGTCTTTTGTATATTATGTTATATTAGATTATTGTTTTCCAACATAGTGTATATCTTTTGTAACTAATTTTATATTTGTCTTTTGTATATTATGTTTTATTAGATGTATTTTGTTTTCTAACTTTCTGTATATCTTTAGTAAATGATTTTATATGTGTCTTTGGTATATTATGTTATATTAGATCTATTGTTTTCCAACATTGTGTATATCTTTTGTAAATAATTTTACATGTGTCTTTTTTATATTATGTTATATTAGAGTATTGTTTTCCAACATTGTGTATATCTTCTGCAAATAATTTTATGTGTCATTTGTATATTATGTTATATTAATTGTATTTTGTTATCTTACATTGTGTATATCTTTTGTAAATAATCATATATTTGTTTTTCATTTTGTTATATTACATTTTGTTATATTTTTGTTTTCCCACATTGTGTATATATTTTGTGAATTTTTTATTTGTCTTTTGTATATTATGTTATATTAGATGTATTTTGAATTGTTTTCTAACATCTTTTATTAATAATTTTATTTGTGTCTTTTGTATGTAATAATAATAATTATGTTAGATGTATTGTTTTCCAAAATTATTTACATATCTTTTGTACATTTGTAAAAGAATGAGAAATATAAAGTTAGTTAAGTTTATCACACTGACTGGTTTGTTGGTTGGTCCGTTGGTTGGTTGGTTGGTTTTTTGGTTTGTTTGGTGTCTTTTGTATATTATGGTATATTTGATTATTGTTTTCCAACATTGGTTATATCTTTTGTAAATAATTTTATATGCGTTTTATGCATATATGTTGTATTAGACTAAACTCTCTGCTCTTAGTTGCGTGATCCATCTTTCTTCTTTCTTTTAGTACTCTACGCATATAGTGAACGAGAACAAGTTTCTATTGTAGGAGTACATGCTGACGTTATCGTCGTCCTAAGTTAGTCTTGATCATCTCATGAAAAGGGCTATAATATGAGATACAACGTTCTGTATTATACTAGAATATTTTTGAGTCAGTCAACAATTCTCGTCCTATGTTAGTCTATAATCTCATGAAGAGGGTTATAATAAGAGATACAACGTTCTATATTATACTAAGAATATTTTTGAGTCAGTCAACAATTCTATCTATGACTTGTAAAACAGAGAAGTAAGGGAAACAAGAGTTCCACGATCTCATACCTTCGCCAAATGAAGTTAACCCTTGCGATTGATGAATTATACAATTTCAATCATTGATTTTGTAAATAAGAGACTCAATTGCATGGATTATATCAGTTGATCATATTCTCCACCCAATGACGGCCTTATCTTAACAAAAAGTCTATTATAGCACTTCCTCATAGATTATGCAAATGAGGTCATGATTTGAATAAATTATGTTCATTGTTGTTCACCTTTACTTAACTTCCAAATGTGACAAGTATGAAATTCCCAGCAGTTACAACTATGAAATTATAAAAAAATTACCTTAATTATGCAAATTAGGTCCTCATTTACATAATCTATATCCCCAGATGTTTTTCTCGTTCTCAAGTACATGTAGATGTCACAAGTGTTTCATAGTTCTATTATCGAACAAAGCAGATGTTGAGAATTTCCTCATTAATTATGCAAAATAGCTCCTGATTTGCATAATTGTCATCTGATTATGTCAAGCATCGCTTCAACTACCTACATACAAAAAATCACGACAATCCGTTAACAGGTTCTTTAGTTATCCTCATTCAAAAATTTTTCAACAAATGCTCCTGCAGTTCCAGAACAAGCCACTAAGGGACCCAAACTCATGTCACTTGTTACCTATCCCAAGAGCTATCTACCATGCAAAATTCGTGACCCTGGATCTTGCTAAACCACAAACACACACACAAACGCTACTGACTGAAAACATAACCCTCTTGGAATAACCAACACAGTGCTATGGTTGATTTCCTGTAGTTCTACAAAAATCTGGCAGGGGGCATACCGTTAATGTCACCATTGCTTTGAACCCCTTCAAGCTTATAGATGGAATAGTCCCAGTGGTACAAAGGTCACTGATGGATAAACTAATGAACTCACACAACTTACTAGGCTCTGGAAGAAAGGCTGTGACAGTTGTTGACTCCAAAGCTTAACCCTGGAGCTACCAGGAATGTCAGAACTCGGTACCTATTAAATAGTTTTCTCTTTTATAAACTACTCCTTCAAAAACCGACATAACATTGATTTTTATCTTTGCCAATACTGTAAGGTTATGTTTTCGGTGCCATTGGTTACTGGGTTTGCGAGTGGGTTAAATATTTGTGGATAGCATAACTGGAGGAGTTGTGAATGGATCCTTATATTTGGTATGTGGGTAGGTGGGTTAAGGGGTTAAGTTTAATTCTTAGTTTGTCCTGTTGGCTTTCTATGGTACTGCAACAGAACTTCCAGGTTTGGACTAATGTGAGGAATTATTAATAAGTGGTATACGCCTCCTAGCAGCTTTTTTTAAACTGCAGGCCTAGGGGCCAAGACCTCATTAGTTTGCAAAATGAGACAATACCATGATTGTATGCGTCATTGCATATTATGGCCTAAGACACAATAGCCTGGATGCCAGACCCAAAGCACACTGGACACAAAATATCTCAGTGTGCAAGGGTCTGGTAGGGTCTCTTAGGAAAGGCTCTCGAGCAAAGGGAGGAGAAGCTGTGATTGATGACCCCTCACACCACAGGTAGCCTGTTACATGGTATCACCATTGGTCAGCAGGAGACAATCTTGGGCTCAACAGTTAATCATTAACCAGTCAATTTTCTAAATGTTTTTTTTAGTTCATTTTCCAAAATAACAGCAGAACTTTAAGTCTTATAGTACAAGTAGTGTACAACCCAGGCTTTCCTGTTTGTCTAAGGTAACAGTTCTCCAACACACCAGGACAAAATAACCTTATCTACAGTTTTATCTCGTCTGCTGGTGAACATTCAAAGATACAGCTGGGAGTTTTTAACCAATCATAGCAGAGGTGTAAAATTGCTTCCTGCTGTTCCACCAATGGGGCCTTACGCTCAGATACTGAGCGTTTGACTGGCAGGTCTATCTGACCCTACCAGACCCTTGCACACTGAGATATTTTATGTCCAGTGTGCTTTGGGTCTGGCATCCAGGCTAAAGACACAATGTTTTGTTTATTTGTTTATTTATCATTTGCATGTATAAAAAAGTTACATAATCAAACAATAATAAAATATGCGGGGTAGGCCAGAAACCTAGGTGTTTTTTTAAAGGGCCTACCCCAAACAAAGGTAACTATGATACATGACAACTTAAAGACATATTTGAATTAAACATCAAAATTTAACAATGAAATAATTGATTAATTAAACAAAATCAAGACACAGAAATAATAACTGAAGTGTGTAAACTAGTTTTTACATCTACGAAAAGAAATTAAACAAAAGTCTTATAATTCAGGTTGCTGTTGCAGAAATAAACTGATTAGATAACTAGAGTTCCACGATCTCATACCTTCGCCAAATGATGTTAGCCTTTATGAATAAGAAATATACTAATCACCCTGATTATGCAAATAGGATCCTCAATTGCATGAATTATATCAGTCTGTTGATCATATTCTCCACCAAAAGACAGTCTTATCTTAACAAAGAATGCCATTTTCTCATAAGTTATGCAAATGTGGTCCTTATTTGAATAAGTTATGTTTAATTATGTTCACCTTCACTTAACTTTCAAACACCCCAAGTATGAAATTCCAGGCAGTTACCACTATGCAATTATAACATTTTCTCATTAATTATGCAAATTAAGTCTTCATTTGCATAATCGATATTTGCCTGTGTTTCGTTCTTAATAACATATGTTACAAGCTTGAACTTCCTATCATGGAATGCAGCTGATTTATAGAATTTCCTCATTAATTATGCAAATTACATCAATATTTGCATAATTGTAATATCATTATGTCAAGCATCACTTAAGCTACCTACATACCAAAAATCACGATGATCCATCAATCGGTTCTTGAGTTATCCTCTTTTAAACATTTGTCCTTTAAACCCCCCTGCAGTTCTAGAGCAAGCAACTAGGGGGCTCATACTCATGTCACTTCATCCCCAGTACAAGAGCTATCTACCATCTAAATTTCGTCACCCTAGCATGTCTGGATCATGAGATATCAAAACCGGAAGTTCTGCTGCAGTACCATGACAAGCCGCCAGGTGGCCCAAAATCTAATCATTTTGAGGTCTCATCAAGACCTACCAACCTACCAAATATCAAGTCAGTCCATTTAAGCCTTCTCAAGTTATCGTGTTGACAGACACACACACACACACACACACACACACACACACACATACA